ATCTGGAAATGAGAGCATGAACCCCCAGCCTCATCCTCTGGCAGTTCCCTGTCAATGTACTGCTACAACTGCTGTTAGATGATCTTCAGCAAAATTTAACTTGCATGTGATGTCAATGATATTGTTCTATAACTTGAACTATAATTTTGTTCTATAATTTTGTTGAGTTTCCTTTCTTTGGAATGGGTACAAATATGAATCTCTTCCTGTCCGTTGGTCAAGTAGCTCCCTTCCAAAACTCCTGGCATCGAGCAAGTGCTTCTAGTGCTTCCTCAGCCTGTTGAAACATTTCAATTGGCATTCTATTGATGGAATACCTGCCTTTCATAAGAGTATATTTATCTAAATTCAAGGAAATCCCATCAGTACAGCTATTGTTCGAATTTACGCACAAACCATAAAAGCTAGCGATGAAGAAACTGAAGAATTCTACAAAAATCTTCAGTCTGAAATTGATCAAGAATGCAATAAAGATGCACTGATAATTATTGGCAATTGTTAATGCAAACGTTAAATACAAGAGGAAGGAGAAATAGTTGGAAAATATGGCCTTGGGGATAGAAACGAACCTTGAGATCTCATTATCGAACTTTGCAAGACCAATGACTTGCTCGTAGAAAATACCTTTTCAACAACACACAAGGCAGCTTTATATGATGGAATACATGGAATTCAAATGAACTACACCCGTGGAAAGAGACAATGGAGAAAACGGGTAAAATGAGTAAATGTCAGCAGCTAAGATCATGCCAGGAACTGACTGTGAAAGAGACCATCAATTGCTCCTATGTAGTCCAGATTAAAGTTGAAGAAAACAACAAGTCCACGAGAGTCAAAAGGCAGTCCTGAGTCTATCCCACCGGAATGTCAAGAGCATCTCAAGAACAGATTTGATGCATTGAGCACTAATGACACAAATCCTGAAGTGACATCAAGAACATTATACTTAAAGAAAACAAAAGCATTTAAAAGACAGTAAAGAAAGAAACCATCAGAGTGGATTCACATGGGAGAAGTGGTGAAGTCAAAGAGCTGAACAGAAAACTTTCAAGGGCAGTTCCAGAAGACAAAGTAAAATATTATAATAAAATGTGCAAGGACTAGGGTTAGAAAATCAAAAAGGAAAAAACATACTCATCATACTTTAAACTGAAAGAATTCAAGACTCAAGTTGCAATATTGAAAGATTCTATAGGAGAAATATTACACTGTGCAGGAAGCATCAAAGGAATACGGAAAGAGTAACAGAGTCACTTCATCAAAAGAGCTAGTCAACATTCCACCGTTTCATGAGCAAGAAACAATGGTGCTGAAGGAAGAAGTTCCAGCTGCCCTGGAAGCATCAGTCATAAACAAAGCTCCTCGAATTGATAGAATGCCAATTAAATGTTTCATCAAGCTAATGAAGCACTAGAAGCACTTAGTCATCAGTGCCAGGAAATTTGGAAGAGAGCTACTTGGCCAACTGACTGGAAGAGATCCATATTTATACCCATTCCAAAGAAAGGTGAACCAAGAAAAACGCTCCAATTATAGAACAATATCATGGATATCGCATGCAAGTAAAATCTTGCTGGAGGTCATATAACAATGGTTGTAGCCGTTCATTAACAGGGTACTGCTAGAGGTTCAGGCCGGCTTCCGAAGAGGAAATGAACAAGGGATATCAGTGCTGATGTCAGATGGATCTTGGCTGAAACCAGAGAATGCCAGAAAGATATTGACTTGTGTTTTATTAATGATTATTGATTATTCTCAACCTTCTTAATGCCACGACCCTTTCATACAGTTCCTCGTGTTCTGGTGACCCCTAACCATAAAGTTATTTTCTTTGCTACTTCATAACCATCATTTTGCTACTGTTATGAATGGTGTGACTCCCGAGAAAGGGTTGATCGACCCCCAAAGGGGTTGTGACCCACAGGTTGAGAACCTCTATTCTAAGGCATTGGACTGTGTGGCCATATTAAAATGTGAATAGCCTAAGAAGAATGGGAATCCCAGAATGTGACATTGTGCTCATGAGGAACCTGATCATGGGTCAATAGATAGTTGTGTGAACTAACAAAAGCATATGGATGGTTTAAAATTAGGAAAGATGTGTGTCAGGGTTCTATCCTCTCGCCATATGAATTCAATCTGTATGCTGAGCAAATCATCAGAGAAGCTGGATTATATGAAAAAGAATTTGGCATCAGGATTGGAGGAAATCTTATTAACAGCCTGCAATATGTTTGCTGAAAGTGAGGAGGACCTGAAGCCCCTTCTGATGAAGATCAAGGATTGCAGCTATAAGTATGGACTGCAACTCCATGTAAAGGAAATCAAAATCCTCACACTGGACATCATGATAAACAGATAAAAGATTGAAGTTGTCATGGCTTTTGTCTTGCCTCAATATACAATCAGTGCTCATCGAAGCAACAATCAAGAGATCAAAACTTGTGTTGCTAGGCTTATCTGCTGCACAAGACCTCTGTGGAGTATTGAAAAGCAAGGATGCTAATTTGGGGGATGAGATTTGCTTGACCCAAGCCATGCATCTTCAATTCTCTCCGATGTGTGTGGAAATTGGACCGTGAATCCGAAAGACCAAAGAATAGATTTGCATGTTGGTGATGGGAAAGAAGATTGAAAATTCCATGGACCACCCACAGAACAAGTCCATCTCAGAAGAACTACAACGAACGTGCTCCAACGAGGCCACCTGGGCAAGACTTTGGACAGGAGAGACCCATCCCTGGAGAAGGGCCTCAGGCTTGGTAAGCAGGACCCTGAACAGGAGTGACAAGATGAATCGGCACAGTGGCTGCATGGGCTCAAGGGCCTCCCTGCAGTGAGGACGGCACAGGACTGGCAGTGCTTCCTTCTGTTGGCCACAAGGTCACTCTGGGTCAGCTCCCACTTGACAGCACCCAACACCAACAGCAAGCATGACTGTACTAGCAGACATCACTCTAAAGCCAAGCTGGCTCAAACTCTTGACACAGCTTTAACTTGACTGTGGTATACAAAACTGGCTGTCTCACTCTGGTTTTTGATTTGATAAGTATGTCTTTTTTTTAATCCCAATCAAGTTATGAACAACAACAAATTTTTATTTCAACAGTGTCAACGTGCTGGAGAGCTCCCTCTGATCTTAAGATGATCCACCAATTAACCCTGCATATTCACTTAAGCCTAAGAAGGATGTAATGTGTTTCACAGCTCGCAGTTTTATTTTTAAAATGAGAAAGATGCGATCAAATATTTGCCTAATGTAATGCTGTGGCTTTCACGGTAGGCTAATCCTGCAGCTCTACCTTTAAAGAGAGGGGAGTGCAAGTCGCGAACATGTGATGGACTGGTAGCTCCTCATCATTGTGCTCAAGCACTGAGCGTCACAAGAAGCACAAAGAGGCGCAGACAGCCTTCGTCTAGTCCGACGGTGGCATACAACTTCAGTAAAGTCCTCATTTTATAATTTGGTTCTAAGAATTAAAACGTAAAGCAGGTAGATTTAAGCATTTAATAAAAATCACTCTCTTTTTACTCTCTCCTACCAAATATTGATCTAAAGCTTCTTATACTATTCAGATACCCCCTTAAAATTTGGTTTCCTGTTCTTTAAAAAACAAACTTTTTAATAGAATATCTTGACTGCCTGCCACTATCTTCTTTCACTGTCTTGCAGCAACCTAATCACATATCAATGTTTCTTTTTATTCATGTGTCCAGCCATAGATAACCCAAGAAAAATTGTAAAATAGGTTTATCAACTTCCTGGTGGCTTTAAGGCCATGAAGTGCACAGATTAGTACTTCCCTGCATTAAAAAACAAACAAACAAACAAACCGCACTGCTCTCAAGTCGATTCTAACTCATAGCAACCCTAGAAGACAGGATAGAACTGCCCCCGTGTAAACTTTAGAGACTGTAACTTTTTACAAGAGCAGAAAGCCCCGTCTTTCTTCCAAAGAGCAGCTGGTGGTTTCGAATCGCTGACCTTGCAGTTAGTAACCCAACTCATAAACAACTCGTCCTTGAATTCACACTGGACTTATCAGCTTCTGCAACTGTGTGAGCCATTTTTCTGACATAAATTACTTCTCTATAAATGCAAACGTCACTGAATTTGCTTCTCTAGAGAATCTGACCCAACAAACTAGTAACCATCAACACCAATTTTGTCTAACAGGGCTTCTGAATATTCTCTCCTCCACCTGCCCAGGAGCCCGGGCTGCTAATCAGAAGTCAGCAGTTCGAAACCACCAGTCACTCTGTGGGAGAGGGTAGGCTTTCTTCTCCAATAAAGAGTTACAGTCTCAGAAACCCACGGAGACAGTTTTACTCTGTCCTATAGGGTTGCTATGGGTCAGAATGGACTCAATGACAGTGAGTTTTAACTTTTTTTATTCTATGTAATAGTTATTCCCCAGACAAATCATCATTGATCTCTCTGGAGTCTCTCTTTCACATGGAACCGTACAGTCAAAATTTCCATGCTGCTGCTCTTTGGGGGTTATCACCTACATTTGTATGTGCACCTTATTAATGACTATACTTTCAATTTAGCAATCTTCTCAGGTCAAACTTTGCTGACTTTCACATACTGCGTTCTCAGGAATCATGACTAGCTTTAACTTTCTTGTTCCTTTGGCTTCTCAGAATCTCTCCCCAGTTTTCAGTATTGTGAGGTGGGACCTTCAGTAAACCTATCTTATTTTTCATCCTCATAAAGCCAACGTTCTCATCCATGGCAGCATAAAATCAAGCTAGAAATCTACTTTGATGCTAACATGTTTCTAATAATAATAGTAAGCTCTACCTTGAATACTCTCTTCCTTTCTCGTCGATATTTGGAAACTGTATCCAAGAAATCTTGAGATATTGTTTTTAATTCTTTTGAGTGAGTCACAACAGACAACATGAGACGTAAGAGAGAAACGTGACAGGTTTAAGGAGTCAACGTCCGAGTGACAAGGGCCTTTCACCTGGCCACAGCTGGTCTTGTCTTCTCTTTATGTGCCCAGGCGTGAAACTGCTCTGGCCACGATCTAGGCATCCAGCTCGGATAAACAAAGGGCTGCCAGTCTGCTCTGCCCCTGACTGACATAAGAACACCACCACCAGCCAGGTGTCTCTTTGCCCACAGCCAGGGGTTGAGCTAGTCTTTTCCAGGGACTGTTACATGATGCTTTCTGATCACCCCCAGTCTGAAGGGAACACTGGGACAATTCAGGAACTATATGTAAGCTAATATGGCCTATAGGCCAACTAATCTGGACCACAGATAGCACCCGGACTCAGAAAAATTAACTTCCTAGAATGTACCACGTATAATAGCTGATTGTTGTTACATGGTACAACACCTTATAGCTTTCTTGTCTGGGAGAATCAATTTCTAACCAGCCCAGAAAATGCCCTCTCCCTCCTATTAGCTTGAGTTGATATTAAAAAATCACTACCAGTATCAAAAAACCACTAAGAAATGAAAAACTCGTGTGTATTTTAAGGAAGTAGAAGATACCATTATGATTTCAGCACACCATGGAGCCAGCAATAGCACCAGAAGTATTGAGTCACACAGGTTTAAACTGGGAAGATGGACTGGGAGTTAGATCCTGGTGTGACATGGCAATTCTAAGCCATGCACCACTGTGGGGCTTTAAGTAGGGAAGTGGCCTGATCAGATTGACTGCATAAAGCATCTCGCTCTGGAAGCAACGCAGAGACAATCTGAGAGAACAGAGCATAGGGGATGGGAGAAGAGTACAGTAGCCCAGGTGCGAGTGGCTTGTTATTGTTGACTGGTTAAAATCACAGACTTCTGAGACTGATTGAGTGTGAATTCTGTTTTAGCCAACTTGGTCATTCTACTTTAGGTCTTAGTTTTCTCTATATAAAATGAAGATTATATTGTTATCCACTTGGCCTGGCAATTGCAGTGGTTTAAGGAGAGTATGCATAAACTGCTATGTTGGATATTTATAATATTTAAGGCTTGGGGTCAACTTAGCTAGGTCAGCATTCTCAGTGGTTTGGCAGTTAACACCTAGTAATCCACCATGATCAGACCCAACACAGCATCACAGCTAATCCACTGTTAGCCTACATAATGGGATTGCAGTAGATGAAATGTAACACTTTTCTTCAGGTCACACATTGTCCAGGATGTGCATCCTGCTTCCCAAATAAATGGATGCTGTGAGAAACGTGTTTGCTTTCATTGGGTCTAGATCCTGCATTGGTCTCCTCTACCTCTGAGTCAATGGTATGCCATCTTGCCTGCCAATCCTGGGAGTCATCAGCACCATGGATTCATCACTTCTGAAACCACAAGCCTGATTTGCTAACATTGAATTCCTCCTTCTCTGCAGCCACCAGTTTACGGTTCTCCTGCCCGTCATCAGCCCACATGATGATGAAAATCAGGAGGAAAAAAATCCAGCCTAACGCCTGATCCACTGACCTTGACCTGCCCTGGACTTGGACTTGCCTGCTTCTACAGCTAGTAATATCTCTATATTATCTACGACCAGTTCTGCTTCTCTAGGAAACTAAGCCTAAAGCAGGCACATAGTGTTGGAGATTGTCATTGTAACTCGGACTTGAGGTATCCATTCCTAACAAAAACAATTGCAGAGGCAGTGATTACAAGGGAAGAAGGCATTGGTTACATTTAACACAAAGTTTTAAAAACCAAGAAAGGATTCTCATAAATAAGCCCAGTGGGAGAAAGAGCTGATTGCTGGACTGTCTGATTTAGTTGTAAGCAACTGCTTCTGCAGGATGGAGGAAATGATGTTTAGCTCAGTGAGAACTCTGGATCCAAAATTCTAATCACAATGAAACAAGGAGAAACACAATCACAACCGGGTGTTTGATTGCTAAATATTGGATGTTATAAAAATGAGTAAGATTGAAGGTTCTCAGAATTTCTGTTCTTGAAGTTACCAGTAATGGGTTAGAATAGCACGGTGTTCAGAAGAGTAGATGTAGTTAGGCATGACAACTAGCTTCAAGTCCTAAGCTTTTTTTCTTACTAGCTTTATCACTGAGAGAGTTATTTAAACTCGATGAGCCTCAGTTACCACTGCTGCAAGTTGAGATAGTAATAAAAAATGCCTCAGATGTAGGTTTTCATCAGAATTAAATGAGGCATTGATTGTAAAGTTCACAGAGTAAGTACCCCAAAGTTGACTATTGTTATTGTTAATATTAGTAATTGCTGCAGGGGGTTTTGCTTTTGCCTATACACGGGATCGATAATCGTGTTCTACAAATTAAGGGAGACAGGAAAGCGGCCAGTGGAGAAGCAGCAAGGGGTGTATTAAGGCCAACACTGCGCCAGACCAAAGAACACACCTGCCCGTGACTCAGGCGAGGCGGGGATTTGTGTTGTGACTGAGGCACGCGATCAAAGAGCAGGCCGAGCGCCATCAAGGGAAGATGTGGGCATCACTCATGGGAGAGAGAACCCCAGTATCAGTGTGCCGAGAGGCACTTGTCCTTACACAGAAAAGGATAAACACGAAGCCCTGCAGTACTCTCCCGCTGCAGCTGGCTGCTCGGTGAGCGCGCAGGCCCATTAGCCCTCTTTAAATGAAAGGGGTGGAAGAAGCTGTTTGTTTACAGCCTGCTCCAGAGGGCCATATGTGCCTGCTACAGGAGTGAGAGAAAAGAACCCACTTAAAAATAACAAGACTGCTGTTGTCAATAAAGAAAATTCTAAAGACACAATCTTGTTAGATATTACCAAGACTGAGAGCCGAGTGTTTCTGAGCCTCCCGGCAGGTCCAGTCACCAACATTTTTAAGCGAAACCTCATTAGAGGGAAAAAACAAAATTTTGTGTGTGTGTGTGTGTGTGTGTGTGTGTGTGTGTGTGTGTGTAACTAATTTGCAAAATGCCAGTGAGGTAAGTGGAAGTCAAGAGCAAGACAAAGCAAGTCGACCTGACTGAGCTTCCCCAGAAAGGGAGGAGGCTGGCTGTCTTCTTTTTCGGTGATTTACCAAATCAGACTGAGAAGATTGCATTTTCTGCTACTGGAAGGAAATACTTTGATTTCACCACAGCAAAGCACATTAGAACAGGCACTTGGAATGGCTGACACAAGATGAATTTAGCAATTTTCAGAACTCAGAAGTAAAAGACGGCTTTGGAAGACGAGATATGATCGATGGCCTGTCACTCCCATACTAAAGGATTGCAGTGGTTCCCCATTGATACCAATTATGAGCTCCTTCCTCTGTTTTTGAAAAACCTTCACTTTCTCTACTTGAGTGCCTGTGGTGACATAAAGAAAGCCTGAGCCTCCCAAGTGTAATCCCAGCTGTGGATGGAGACTTACAAACTGATGATGCCACGTCAGACTCCTAGATTCCCAGAAAAACCTGACTGTCCATCACCAGTGTCCATTGCAGCCCAATCATACACAGCAAGTTCACCTCCCACAACATGGCCGCTGCATCCCCTGTGAGCGCCGCAGGAAGGAGGACTGGCGCTTCGCTAAAGATCCTCAGCCGTGCCCTGCTCTCTCTTTCCTGTTCTCAGCCTCGGCCACATTAGACAACTGATCATGTCTTTCACTCTCTCCGCTAGATTTAGTTATGATTTTCCGTAGGATGATATTTTCTTCTTTTTTTTTAAAAAAAAGTATTTATTCGGGAACCTACAGTAGGCAGACAACACAAGCTTGTTGGAAATAAAGATGATTGGCGTATGATGTTTGAGGATTGAGGAGGAGGATTAAGGATTAAAAACTACAACCATCAGATGGAGTACACCTCAACATAAAGAAAATAAAAATCTCACAACTGGACCAATAAGCAATATCATGATAAACAGAGGAAACATTTGGAAGTTGTCCAAGATTTTTATTTTATTTTTAATTTTAACTGAGTTAGAATTGCGTTCTTTTTTATTGGTTGGGATTTAATACCTAGAGCATATCACTCCGTGTAATAGTTTAGGTACTTTGGAGAAACAAATCCACAGCGACTCATGTATAAGACAGAGTTTTATGTAAAGAAAATGTGCATCATGAAAACAACCCAACCCAATGCTACCCAAGCCCACAAGTCCAACATTAAATCATTAACCCAACAACCAGTCCACAAAGTCCTCCACCTCACAAAACAGAGGCAATGATGCCGACTGCAGGAGGAAAGCTGAGTCAGTGAGCGAACAAGCATCTCAGCACTAGCAGGGGTCTCCACAAGGCTGCTCCAGCACCCAGGGCTGCATCGGGATAGGTCCATGTAGCTTCTCCTTGGGGATGTCTTGTAGGAAGTCAATCTTGCAAGCTGAAGCAGGGAACTGCTAAGGCAGCTGCACCCTTGTGCGACCATCACAAAGCAAGAGACCCGAGGACTAGAAAGGCGAGGCTCACCACCCATTTATCCCTCTGCCTTTCAATTAGCTCCACATGTGATTATCGGCCAGGCTGGCACAATTAACTAACTCACTCCGCATTTCAATCACACTAATAGAATTGTACAGTTGCTACCACAGTGTCCGAACATTCTTCTTCTACGTGTGCTCTTAGACATCATCTCCCTTTTACCCCACCTCCACCACTGCACCTCCAAACCCCAAACCCCTTATTCCACCTGCTGTCCCTATAGGTTCACCAATCCTGGGTTTTATATACTGAAAACGGAAACGCATATAACACAGCTTCAAGAGGGTGACCTCCATTGACATAACACCTCTGAGCTATACTCTACTATGAACGAACAAAAGCCAAACAAAACAGCGCAAACCAAAAATACAGAAAAATTTGGAAACCAGTTGGATCTACAATCAGTGCCCCCCAAGCAGCAGTCAGGAAATCAAGCATTACATTGCAGTGGGCAAACATGCTGCAAAGTATTACAAAGCAAAAATGTCACGCTGAGGAATCAGGTGTACCTGACTCAGGTACTATTTCCAATTACTTGATATGGAGATAGAACCTGGATAATGACTAAGGGAGACTAAAGAATGGATGCCTTTGAATCATGGTGTTGGTGAAGAATGATGAGACAGATGCAGAATCCAAATCAAGAAAAAAAGCAAACAAGCTTTGCCAGGGAATCCATGTATACTGGAAGCAAGCCACACCCTGAGAAAACTACCTTTAGAATGATTGGCTTCTGATAGCAGATCACATATGAAGAT